GCTATACCAGTGGTAAGAGCAATGTTTGTAGACTACTCATTCTCCAAGTAATAAAGATTACCTTCTCTTGGAGTTGTTGCTATGATTACACTAATAAAAGCATTGATAATAACACAAGAGTTAAAATCAAAGATGGGTTTGTTACCCATATCTGCCACATATGCAACATAGATCAAGTTTCTACATAAACTAGGAGCATGCATGACTCAGGTGAGGACTTTGTGGTTGGGACTGGAATGTCACCAATGCCAACAACCTTAGTCTCACTATTATACCTAAGTTGTACAGCATGTTCTCCAGGATAAGATTTGTAGTGAATAATATGTCATGTAAAGTGAGAGAATCTAATAGAAAATAAGCTGAATTCTCAGGGATTTCTGAGGAGAGGTAAGCATATTGAAGGGTAATTGTTATGGCTACATTTGCTTCTTCAATCAGCTTCCTATAATTTATAGTAGATTTAAAAGATTTGCTTATTTCTCAAGATTTCTCATTTTTTCCTACATTTAGAGGTAGTGTGAGAGCCTTTTTTGGCAATATTCACAAACTTGACTCTTCTTATCATTGCTGGCATCCTTTTTATTTTTGTATTTAGAAGAATCTCCTCGCATTTTGCCTTTTTGTTTGGAGGTTTTTTCCTTGGAGCCTTCAGAGTTCAATGCTAACTCTTTGGAGTTTAAGTCTTTTCTCATCACAATTTCTTCCTTGACAGTAGATATAACTCATCTAAGCTCTAGTTTATCCACTTACATCAAGTTGCTGCGAAGAGAAAGAAAGGATTTAGTAATGCTCTCAAAAAGTGGAACTAGTATTTTGTTGTTAGCTCCCAATTTACTGGTAGAGACTCTTCATATCTTCAATGAATTTATCAAACTTCTCATCCTCATTCCATTTCAAGCTAATCACCTTGGTGTAGAGGTGGCCAATTTGGATATACTGTGTGATAAGAATTGAAGAAACAATGGCAAGACCTATGGTGGCAAAAGTTTATTTTTTTCTTGATAGAAAAGGAAACCATAAAATATTTTAGTGATTGTGTTCATGGTAAATAAAAAAAACAAAGGAAAGACAGAACATGAGCTCCCAATACCATGTCAAAGACCAAGAAGCAATACTTGGAACACACAAGAGAATTCCCTCCGGTTGTTTTCTTTGCTTGGTCTTCCTTTGTTCTTCGTTTCGAGCATCTAACGCGTTTTTTTCCATTGCTTCTTTGACTCTTGGAGACCAACGTGGTTGGAACACGACCAACACAAGCGAGGTTTATGGAGAAGCATCCTCAGAAGGAAAATTTGCTTGGTCTTTGCTCTTTCCTATCGCAGCACTGTGATCTGGTTTAGGTGTGAGAAGTTGTTATGACAAGGGTAAGAGGACTGCAGAGACTCACAATGGATTATCACAGAGGCGCAAACGTGTCGTTAAGTACTTGGAAAAACTTTGCTTGAAAGCCTAGCAAAGGTTGATAGTGATAGCAAATGTTCCATCCTCGTATTTTAAACACATATAGTCCTCGAATGTGCCTGGACAATGTCGTCTTCTAGCGCGTTTATTTTATCCCAGATTGCACTACAATTGGCCACCGGGAATAAGATAAGTCTTCAAATTTTCCTACTCCAGCTGAAACACGCAAAAGTGGTCCAGCTCCCCGATTCCCTGGCCAAGCTCGCGGCGCTGGAGACGCTGGATCTATCCGAGAATTCCATCTCAGGCTCCATCCTGGATGTCTCTGGATTTTCCCTGCAACTTCTGCCCAGAAAATTGAATCGATCTTCTCTTTCCACGTCTCTCCAAGCCTATATTTGTCTTCTCGCACAATGATAACATCAGAACATACTCCACTCGTGTCTTTTGACGATGTCAACACGCCCTCGCCATGAACCTCTGCTCCATCAGCTTCCAGTCTGCCTTTGATCTCCCTCGAGGTGTTCTTCTTCTTGTTCCTCCGGTCTTCAACCTCTGCTCCATCAGCTTCCAGTCCTTCTTCCAGCCCTTGATCGCCCTCAAGTTGTTCTTCTTCTCGTTACTCCAGGCCCTCAACCTGTTCTTCCGGTTGCTACCCTGTTCCTCTAATCCCTGGTGCTCCGGGCTGTGATAGTGGGGGAAGAAACTTACAGCAAGCTAATGTCTTACCTCTTATTACCCTCCATAAAGTGGAACGATGCATCCAAATCCAAGGAAATTCTTTTTTTTTTCTTGTGAGGTGGTAACTAATCAACTGCTGTTTTGATTATGTATGTATGAACTCCAAGTTTGTGTGTGTTGGCAGCTCCTATGTGTCCGACCATCCTTGGTTATCAAAGCGAGTTCTTGAGCGAGTTCAAAAAGTCTCCGAGAACTCCCAGACTCTGATTTTGGCATCCTACTTGAAAGACATATATGGACTTTGTTTTGCAGGCAGCAGCCTGCATCTCCGGCTGGAGCCTGCAAGCAATAGCCAGCTTGAACCGAAAGGCGGGGAGAAAATCACTCAAACTATAAGACTCGAGAACAGCATGCTTGGACAGGTTTTCTCAATAGTCTTTGACAGAACGAGAATATGAATCAGCTACAAAGTGCTGCTGGTTTTATAAGTACCTTCACTTTTTGTTCCTTTATTTGATGTTTTTTGTCAGAGTTTTAATTCGTGCTCGTGGAGAAACTTGGTTGCCAACCATTTTTCTCCTTTGACAACAGGGCAGCCTCCTGTTTGAACAAAGAGAAAGAAAAATATTTGAGCTTGTAATATTAACACAAACCATGAAAGCTGAATGGATCGATTTCTCCTGATGGTCTGGTGATCCAGAAAAGAAGACCATCACCTCTTCTTGGCCGGATGACGATCCCCTTTTTAGTGCACTCGGAGGTGTTTGTTGAATAGTCATTTATGACATTTGCTAATGCTCGCGGGAAAACAGTCTCCCCGCCATTTTCAACGTTTGTCCTACAGAAGAATGTCAGTTGAAACCAATCCTTCAGTGTCTAAATTGTACACTTACAGATAAAGAAGTAATGTTCCAATCCGGTGTCCTCCATTATTGTTATTCTCAGTGAGCTTGTAATAATCTTGGTGTGGTTCAAACTTTTGGCCGGTTTTATAACGCACCACCTGCAAACTTTCACCATATTCTACACAGAGATTTGAATGACTCTTGTCCAAGAAGATTTTGTGGGAATTCTCAACCTTTGGGAATGAATGTGATGCTTGAGATTCTATCTTCAATCCCAGAAACTATGTTGTCGTGATCACGCCTGAGGAATGCTCCCCAACTAGTTCTATTTCTGCTGTCCTTGCCCAAACCTGTTTTTTCGTCAATCACTGAAGACCGTCTTAAGCGTGGTAATGCGAGACCAATTAAATGGTCGCACTCGTCATCGCTGTATAGATAAAAGAAAATTAGAATTGAAATAAGGAATTATAAAACTCACTAAGAAGTCATGGAAAAGAAACACACGAGGATTGAACGATGAGATGACTTCCATAGTACTCCCGAACGTATTACCACCATGTTTAGCTATGTTACAAACCAGAAATAACAATTGCAAAATCCAAAAGATCAAGAAGGGAACCACAATTCTCAGCTTCGCCATAGCCATCCCAGAGAATAGAGAATACAGCAACACTATCCCTATCTAATAGTCTCCTGGTCTTCTAAAGGTACATTCATGCTCTTTCTCACAAAATCATGTGTGGTTGGTGAGCACACAAATTTGCTCTGAGTGTGAGTATATAAGTAAACACAATGGGAAGATAGGACATCCCGAAATGGCAATTCACAAGCTTTTTTTTCCACTCTTGCTCCTGCTCACTCTCTTTTCTCTCATCAATGGCGACGGCAGCGAAGGAAGCCACATGGATGTTGGTGGAAGCCCCACTTTGAAGCTGTGTGAAGCAAATAGAGTCCAGGCAAAACTTGCAGCGTGCAGCACCCCTTCTGGCAGCTCTGATTGTTGCTCACTGTTTGGCAAGCTCGATGGATGTGAATGCGGAACACTGGAGATCGACACTATCAAGGACATGAGCAAGAAGTGCAACGCTAGCTTCTGCACCTAAAACCACGCATTTGTAGCGCTAAGATCTATGTTACCCCTTAACACAAAATATTAATAAACATCCGGCCGGCTTCCCATTTTTCTGGTTAGATTAAGATCACAGGTGTTTCACGCCACGATTTCGCACCTGGAAGCTCCTAAGAGCTCTGCCCAAGCGTTCGGCAAGGTCAAGAAACTGGCGCCTGGAATGCTGTCAACCCTCTTCACCGCCAAAGTCGCTCCAGCTCAGGGTGGTTGGGTTATTTTGCTCAAGCTTTCGCCACGCTTTTAGCCACTGCCATCTCGATTGGGAATTCCAGGTATTTCTTGAGTTTTCCAGGTTATCGGTGCCTCCTGATTTCTTGAATCTCTCTCTCCACTCTTCTAGCCACTCATCTCTTTTAAAAGTCCTTCTCCAAAATGGAGTGCCGTGACCCATTCGAGGCATGAGTAAAAAGTTCCTTAAGTTGTCATCTTTTTAGTTTAGACGAGAAAAGATGGAATTTGTGCGCGTTCCTGGATCGAAGCTGCCACGCTTTGACATAGAGCTTGAGCGAATAATTCCTACATTTCCACAACTATTCCAGCAATTGGTATGCAATTTCTTTTTCTCTTCACTTAGGCATCTAAGATCTAATTAACTGCTAGGAAGAAGAGCTAGTAGCTCTAGAAGCATGCAACGAGCATTCATGGGAGTCTCTAGCTATTCCTTTGGAGTGGATTATGGATACACTGATTGTTAGCTGCAGCGTTGTGAACCATCTTCAACATATGAAGGATTCGAAAAACCTTCGAGGTGCAATACAAGAAATTGAGGTATCTACTTTCAGGCACAAAAAATTGTTAATAATGGTTTCTTATAGGCTCGAAGGAAAGATTTTGATCTCAAACTTGCCCAGAGCAAACCTCTCTTCGATAGCTTCAAGGCACTTCAGGAAGACCCGAACTTCCAAAATTCCAGCGATGCTCAGAAAAGGACTGTGGAAAGCTACATGAAAAAGGTAATTATAAGTGGTGTTCATTTGGAAGATGGACAAAAGAAGCTCTTCAACCAGTATGAGAAGGTATTCTTTGCATTTGTTATGTATTTGTATAATACTTTTTCCAGGAACTAGTGGAGCTGACTAGAAAATTCAGTGACAATATCCTCGATTCCATTAGAAAATATGGCAAACTAGTTACTAGTGTGGAAGAAGTTGAGGGATTGCCGGCAACATCTCTGGCACTTGCAGCAAAAGCAGCAGCTTCAGAGGTAATTGAAGCTATGATAATAATCACACAATTCTTTCATAATTGATCATTTTCAGGGCTATGAAGTTGCATCACCCGAGCTTGGGCCTTGGCTATTTAAGATCGATAAATCTAGTTATTTTCGAGTGATGAAACATCTGAAGAACAGGAAAGCCCGAGAGGAGTTATATTTGGCTTATAGAAACAAAGCTTCTACTGGGGAGTTCAACAACACTCCTGTCTTGACACGAATCTTAGAACTCCGAAATTTGAAAGCCAAACTTCTTGGTTACAAGAACTATGCCGAGGTGGTATAAGTGTTTCTTTGATATTTTATTAGTCTTATGATTATTCCTCTTCTAGATTAGTATGCTTTTGAAAATGGCAACACTTGATAAAGCCAACGAGTTGCTAGAAAGCCTTCGAAGCGGGGCATGGGATGGTGCTTTGCGAGGTAAAAGTTTTGAAAACCTCTAGTTTCTTTTGGATGGTATAAAATCTTACTCCATTATTGTTTCAGAACTAGAGGCTTTGAAGGCTCTAGCAGCGTCCAATGGTGAGAATTATGAGCTCATGCCTTGGGATCTTCCATACTGGATGGAAAGGCTACGAGAAGCCAGGCTTGACATGAGCGAGGTGATGAAAACCTCTACCAAGTCTACTTTTAACTTTTCGAATTTGCAGGAAGAGTTCAGGCCATTCTTTGCATTCCCTCATGTGTTGGAAGGCTTGTTTTTGCTGGCAAAAAGACTCTTTTCAATAGAGATTGATGCTGCAGACAACCTCGTGGCAACATCCGTAAGTGTTTAGCTTACGTGCACTTGAACGTCTTGAATGAGTTGTATGTTTTCTTCGTAGATTTGGCACGATGACGTGAGGTTTTTCAGAGTGAAAGATATGGATACCAAGGAAACGCTTGCCTACTTTTACATAGATCCATACTCAAGGCCTCTGGAGAAGAGAGGAGGTGCTTTTGTTAGCAGCTTTGTGGCAAAGAGAAGCCGAGCTCTTGCACCAGAGGGTTGTGACATCCGACTCCCAGCTTGTATCATCGTTTGTAATCAGACGCCGCCTCTCGGAGACAACCCAAGCTTGATGACATTTGACGAGGTATATATTACATTTTATAGCCATTGATATTTGATTTCATGGTTGTGTGTCCAGTTGAAAACACTGTTTCACGAGTTTGGCCACGCTTTGCAACACATGCTTACGACGCAAGAGGTGATATTCGTTTCAGGTATGCAAAATGTAGAACAAGATGCTGTAGAGCTCCCCTCGCAATTCATGGAGAACTGGTGCTACGATAAGTAAGAATAGTATATGTTTACCAATTTAGAAGGATTATATAATAAATTTCCATTGCAGGGACACACTGTCAAGCTTTGCCAAGCATTACAAAACAGGCGAGCTACTTCCAGAGTCGCTGTTTCAAAAGATCAAATCATCTAGAACACTGAGAGCTATAGACATGTTAAACCAGGTATGCTTGCTTTACATTTTTCCTTTTTCTGATGTTTCATTGTTGAGGTGTACCAGGTTTTACTTGCCGCAGTGGATCTAAAGCTCCACTCTAACTTTGAGCCTAATGGTTTGACAACGAAAATTCACGAAGTGTATAGCGAACTATCACTGAAAACTCAGATTCCACCGTGCATGCCTGGAGAACAATACCTTTGCAGCTTCTCACATATTTCTACTGGTATGTATATCGGCGATGCCTTCTGAAGATATATAATTTTCACTTGAAGCTGATGCTTTCTATTAATTTATAGGTAATTATGCAGCTGGATACTATGGTTATAAGGTGGCTCTAAAATTATTTCAGAAAAAAAAAGGTCTTCCATAATGTTTTTCTATCTTGCAGTGGGCTGAAGTCTTGTCTGCCGATGTTTTCAATGCATTTGAAGAAGCTATGCTCAAGGATGAAAAGGTACCAAAGAAGAAACTATACCATATAGTTTTGAAGATTTGGTTCTGACATTTAATTCCTGTAGGCTGTGAAGGAGGTGGGGATGCGTTTCCGCAATACAATCTTGGCACTCGGAGGTGGAATGGCGGCTCTAGATGTTTTCAAAGCATTCCGGGGCAGAGAACCATCTGTTGATCCTTTACTTCGGCAATATGGACTTAGGAAATAGTGACGAGTCTATAGACAATATTACAAGCTATTGAGAAGTTCCTGGAGGTTACGAAGGCCTTCGTTGGAAATAGTTCTCACGGGAGGCTTGATGATCCGAAGGCTGGGTGGCGGATCCCTGCGGAAGCACACGGTCACCACCGTGAGATTGTCCGAGGTGTCCCGCTTGAGAGCCTCGACGATCAAGTCCTTGGAGCACTTCTCCGGATCGTTGTGCTGCTGGAGCCTCCTGCGGGCAAAGCTGACGGCGTCCTGGCTCGAGAATGCGTCCCAGAGACCATCACAGCCGATGATGAGAAACTCGTCGTCCTCGGTGAGCTCGGCCTGCCGCATCTCTGGCTCGCCGCTCAGAAGCCCGCTGGAGGAGCCACCATCGTCGTCGTCGGCTTTGAGCCCTTCGAGGTGCCAGTCGCCCAGAGCTCTGGCCACTGAGAGCTGTCCATTGAGGTAGCCATCGTCGACAAAGCCTCCCAGTGACTCAATGCGAGATTTTTCCTCCACACACGACGGCTTGTGGTCTCTTGACATTGGCACAGCTCTGCCGCGTCTACAGAGAACTGCACGACAATCTCCTACATTAGCCACTAACAAGGTCCTGCAAATAGTGTAGAAAACACAAACACGACGTCACTGGAAGAGCTCCAAGGAGAAGATGGTAAAAAAGAAGATAAAAAAAACAAGCAGCAGGATATGTTTTAAATGAATTTTAGAATACCTCCCAAAGATGAGCACGGTGAGAGCAGTGGTCCCGGATGCAAGCTCGCTATCAATCTGGCAGGCCTGAGCGAAGGCTCTGTCGGTCCGCAAAAATGCTCGCTTCACTGCCTCCTCCAGTGCCGCGGGAAACGCCGTGTCTTCCACGATGAACTTGAGAAGGTTTTCTCTCACGAACTGCGCGGCATCTTTTCCAAGATGGCCATCAAACACCTGCAAGTAGACTTCTTTCTCGCTTTGCAGAATATAAAAGAGCGAGACAAAACGCTTAGAAGAGAGCGTACCCCGTAGAAGGAACCAGTGCTCTCGCCAATGACAAGCTCACCGAGATGCTTGACAAGATCGTCGATTCGGACGTGGGCATCTTCCATGTGATTGCGGAGCCCAATGTCGGCCCAGCCACCCGAGCGAATAAACGGGAGGAATTCCTCCACGAGAGCTTCAGTGATCTTCTTGTCCACCTAAAAAGAGTGGAAGAAAAAACACACATCACCAAACAAGTGACTACCTACACGCAAAAAAGTAGACTAACACGCACGGGCAGATGAAAAGCTCCACCCGGGACCAAAAAAATCTAGGCACGAATGGGAAGAAAGCAAAGCAATCGTACACACAAAAAAAAGAAGAAAATTTCACAAAGCAGGCAAAGCAAATCGTACACAAAAAAGAAAAATCCAATCACAGCTTTAGCAGCGAGAAAGAAGAGAACCATCCAAGATAGAAAAAATTTCTAGCGAGACAAGAGACGTACCAGGGAAGGAGTGGAGAAGCCTGGATTGGAAACAACCTCTTCTTGGTCAGGAGAGGCAACAACGCCGGCATCATCCACCGAGAGAGTGCTTCCATTGGAAATCGACTTGGAAGTCGAAGTGCCAGCCCTGCATTCTCCATCTAAAACTCCGACCGTGGGTGAGATACCAGCTGCCATCGCTGCCGCTGCTGCTTGGCATGTAGCTGTGCTGCGCGGGACAAAATACCTCGTCGGGAGGGGGGAGATTCCGGGCGCCGCCGCCGCCGCCGCCGCTGCTGCTGCTGTGGTGAGCGATCGATCGATGCGCGTGGCCGCGAGGATTGCCAGAGGGAAACCGAGGCGGCGTGAGCAATCGTACCTGGAAATGCCGCGCGCCACACAAAAAGAAAAGAAAAAAGAGGAGAAAGAGAAAGGACTAGCCCTAAAGTGCCGGGAATCCAACGGCCGGGATCTAGGCAAGCATATGCTGAAAACGATTCGCATCTTTTGAATGGACACGTTTTTCAAATTTGATGGACGATGTCCTCCACTGGATGGCAGCTTCTTCGTAAAATCAATCTTTTTTGCGTGGCGGCCACTATGATATTTTTGTGGAAATGTTGAATTGAGTCTCTACACCACTGGGGGATAATCGACACGCAAAAAGCACTACCATACCTTATCTTCCAAAAACAAAGATACTTTATAGCATAAAAATCAAAAAGAAATATTTTAGTAATAAAAATGTCCACGAATTTTTTTGTGAGTGGGCGACCACATGTGCTACTATTATACGTGCAGCTTTTCGGCTATGGCCGCCGGCAAGAGTTTCCTTGCTAGCTTCGTTGCCTGGTCAAAACATCACGCGAGACGCGATTTCCATTTACTCCAGCGCGGCCCAAGGTCTATCACCATATAACAAATGCGCCACAGAGTGGCTAGAGAGCAGAGAAGGAAGAGCGAGCAAGCATCCATCGCTCGATGGTGAAAGAGGATCACATAACGGTCGAGATGAGGAACTTGTCTGGCGCTGGCGCCAGATCCAGGGGTACGTCGCGAACGAGCTCCGCAAACACGGGCACCGGCGGCGAGGTTCTCGTGGAGCTCCAGATCGAGACGGCCGACAGCGACGACTCGCTGCTAGAGATCAACAGCCTAAACAGCAGCTCCGACCATAGCGCCAAGAGGATCACGTCCTCCAAGTGGAAGCAATTCTCCCAGGAGCTCAAGAAGCTCTCGTTCAGCCGGAGTGGTACCAACAAGGGGCCGCCGGCGGCGGCGGGCGGGGCTAGGCTCCCGCGCACCAAATCCTCCGCCGAGACCGCCATCAGGGGGCTTCGATTCATCAGCAAGGCCACCGAGAAGGCCGACCGGGAGCAGCTATGGCAGGATGTGGCGACGCGGTTCGACTCCCTGGCCGTGGATGGATTCCTCTCGCGCGCCGATTTTGGAGCTTGCATTGGTGAGTTTTCTTGTTCTTGGCCTCGTTTGATCTTGTTGGGTTTGGATCGCTCCTTCTCTCGATCCGAGGCCTGGGCTGGCGATCGGATCACGTGGGTCGGATCATCCCGACACGATCTGTCGTGGGTTCCACCGGTCTCGTGCTCGTTTTGCTCGAGCTCCTCGATTTCCTGGCTTGCCGCTGCGATTTCTCGCTGCTGGGGACGTGGGTCTCGCTGGTTCGTGATTCCCAGGGGATTGCTCTGGTGACTCCGTGATGGGTCCGCCGCATTTCTCGATCTTGGAATGGTTTCTCGCTCCTATCATTGTCCGCATTGGTTGCGATGCCACTGCATGTGATGACTGTCGAAAGTCTGCAGCACTACAGTGGCCGCATTGTGTGCGTTTTTTGCTTGACCTTTTCTCACGATCGATCTGTCGGAATCAAATCTCAGCCTCTTTTGTCTTGGATCTACAGGTATGAAAGATTCAAAGGAGTTTGCGGGACAGTTGTTCGATTGCCTAGCCCGCAAAATGGACGTGAACCGGCTCAAAATCGATAAAGACCAGGCTCGCGAGTTTTGGTTCTGGATCTCCGACCCGAGCTTCGATTCCAGGCTCGAAATCTTCTTCGACATGTACGTAAAAATCTCAATTTTCCTGTTCTTTCAACTCAACGGTTTTGCACAGGTGCGACAAAAATTCCGACGGAAGGATTACGGAAGAAGAAGTGAAAGAGGCAAGCTTTCTTCCATTCTTTTGTTTCACTATTGCTTTTCTACGACGACGCTGACTAACGAAAAAATTTCTATTCTTTTGTTCCACTATTGCTTGCTACGACGACGCTGACTAACGATCGCGAAAAATTTCTTTGTCCAGGTCATTAAAATAAGCGCGAGTGAGAACAAGCTCTCGAAACTCAAGGAGCAAGCCGACGAGTACGCGGCGCTGATCATGGAAGAATTAGACCCGGACAATCTGGGTTATGTCGAGGTTTGCCATCCATCTTTGACTCTCGTTAAGCTCACGACCAAATCACTCGCTCACTCTAGACTTTGTGTCACTTTCTTGGCAGCTATGGCAGCTTGAAACTCTCCTACGTGGTGAGATTGTCGGTGCCTCGCAGCGATACTCCACACAAAACGTAAGCCAGATGCTAAGTCAAGCACTGGTTCCACCACACAGACGGGACCGCTTGCACGAGATCAAGTCCAAGACCAAGTATTTCCTGGCCGAGAACTGGAAGAGGATTTGGGTGCTGGCGCTGTGGATCGCTGCGTGCGTCGGGCTTTTCACCTGGAAGTTCGTCCAGTACCGGAACAAGGCCGCGTTTGATGTCATGGGATATTGTCTGTGCATCGCCAAAGGTGCCGCCGAGACTCTCAAGCTCAACATGGCTTTGATTTTGTTTCCAATGTGTCGGAACTTTCTCACGTACTTGAGATCGACTTGGCTCAACCAGGTCGTGCCTTTCAACGACAATATCAACTTTCACAAGGTAAAGTTCTAGCTAGCTGTTTTCCTGATGTTTACACGTTTTCTCCCTTCGAGCAGACTATAGCGGCTGGAATCGTCGTGGGTGTTCTTCTCCACGGAGGAATGCATATAACTTGCGATATCCCGAGGCTTGTGAGCTACGACGAGGAGGAATTCATCGCGAAGATCGGGCGTGGATTCAACTATAGGCAGCCAACTTACTGGGAGGTTGTCAAGGGCGTGGAGGGAGTGACGGGGATTGTCATGGTGGTTCTCATGGCCATAGCTTTCACACTCGCAACTCACAAGTTTCGGCGAAATCTCGTCAAGTTCCCGTGGCCTTTCCACCGGATGACGGGATTCAACACGTTTTGGTACACACATCACCTCTTCATCATCGTCTACGTGCTCCTCATCATCCACGGCATCTTCCTCTACCTGACTTACAAATGGCAGCAAAAAACTGTAAGATCTTCTTGCTCCAAGTTCACGTTCTTACTTTTTTCTTTCAAACACAGACTTGGATGTATGTTGCGATACCTGTCCTTCTCTATGCGTTTGAAAGGATTCGCAGGGTTTTCAAGTCTACGGTTTATCCGGTGAAAGTCGTAAAGGTAGAACTTCACCACCGTTGTTTGCATGGAGATTGAAAATCTGGTTCCTTTTTGTCAAACTCTTCAGGTGGCTATCTACTCTGGCAACGTCATGGCTTTGTACATGACCAAGCCTCCAAACTTTCGGTACAAGAGTGGAATGTACATGGTCTTGAACTGTCCAGCAGTCTCTCCATTTGAGTGGTGAGCTTCTTTCACATTTTTTTCCCATTTTTTTTATAATGATTCTCAAGAACTTGTCTATGTGATCGTGTTACAGGCATCCATTCTCAATCACTTCCGCTCCAGGCGACGAGTATCTCAGCGTTCACATCAGAACTCTCGGTGACTGGACGGCAGAACTTAAGAACGTGTTCTCGCAAATTTGCGAACCATCCGCTGGTGGCAAGAGTGGATTGCTGCGTGCCGAGGCATGGAACTCCGGGGAGAGCTCAAAGTAAGCCATCTTTACTTTTCCTTTAGAGAGAGCCGCAAGGACTAATCTATGATCCAATCCTTCGCAGCTTTCCAAAGCTCTTCATCGATGGGCCTTACGGAGCTCCATCGCAGGACTACACCTCCTACGACATTCTCCTTCTCGTCGGCCTGGGCATTGGAGCCACTCCCTTCATCAGTGTTCTCAAAGACATGCTCAACAACATGAAGAAGAACGAGACGAGCGCCGACGTGAGGATCCCAATGCCCAGCCCTAGAAGAAGTCCAGGGAACTCCACGGTCCCCGGCTGGACTCCCACGAACGCTTACTTCTACTGGGTTACACGAGAGCAAGGATCTTTCGACTGGTTCAAAGGTGTCATGAACGAAGTTGCCGAGATTGACTCCAAGGTTGGAAGTTTTCGTATGATGTTTCCATTCTTACACGTTCTTACGATGCTTTCTCAGGCTGTTATCGAGCTACATAACTATTTGACGAGTGTTTACGAAGAGGGCGATGTTCGATCGGCCCTGATTACGATGGTGCAAAGTCTACAGCATGCACGGAATGGTGTCGATATTATTTCGGGAACTCGGGTACTTTTCTAGCCTCTTTCCTTGAATTTCTTCGTGTTTCTAGTTCTCTTATATGTGTTCTTCATCTTTGGCCAGGTTAAGACTCACTTTGCCCGTCCAAACTGGAGAAAGGTTCTGTCGAGGCTGGAGAAGCTGCACAGAGGCGCGAGAATTGGTATGTTTGTGAGCTTTTCTTTGCTAAAACGTGACAAAATTTTCAGGTGTGTTTTACTGTGGAGCCCCGGCTCTTGGCAAGGAATTGGATGCGCTATGCAAGGAATACAGCCACCATAACATCACCAAGTTTGACTTTCAAAAGGAAAACTTTTAGAACGTAAAGGAAACCGAGATTCTATTGGTTGCAAGTGTATATAAAGCATACCAGATTCTTTTTTGTAGCGATGCCAATCCGAGTACATAATTTACGAGATTTAAAGAGCTCATGCATGCGTGCCAAGCTTGTATATGTTGTTCCAGGTTTGCCTTTGATTTTAGTCGGGCCAGGTGGTTTTGTTTCTTTGTTTTTGCCTTGATAGGCATTTACAAGCTCGGAATTTCTCCAGATCAGATCTTTCATAGCTTAACGACATATCGCATATACGTGTAAGTTTTATGTGCTCGTTTTAAGTCAACAAGTTTCTACATCCCTTGATCTCACCTCAGAAATGTCAACTTTGCCATACCTTTTACTCGACCAGATTACCTTTTTCTTTAGTTATTCCTTTTCAGAATTATGTTGGGGATTTATTAAACCAAACTTTACTGGACCTTTTTATTTTGCATATAAAAGCCCTAGAGATCTTGAAGGATTTTCATAGCTCCTCTCCCTTTGTTGGATAATGGCTGTGTTTTCTACAACACCACAAGAGTTACGCATAGACATCAACGATCAAAGGAGTATGAATAACGATAATTCTTCTCTACAAAATTGTGCTGGAAAGTTGAGGCTCTATCTCTCACTTGGCGCAACACAAGCTCTCTTTGCTGGATTCGAAGTTTTGAGCCGAGTAGCTCTCGACCAAGGCGTGGGAAAGACGGCGTTCACGTTTTACAGGAATTGTCTCGCCACCATCGTGTTGGGAATCTCTGGAATCATCTTCGAGCGCAAGAACTGGAGGAAGCTCACTTTCAAGGAGGTTTTCTACTTCTTTTTCCTAGGGTTCTTGGGGGTGACGATGAACCAGCTTTGTTACCTGGTCGGCCTGGGTTTGACGTCGGTCATGGTTACATCTGCCATCCGCAACTGCATCCCTATAATGACGTTTGTTCTTGCGTGTTTCTTCAAGCTGGAAAAGGTTGACTTGAGACAAAGGCATGGCATCGCCAAGCTCTCGGGAGCGCTGATCGGTCTTGTTGGTTCAATCATCTTGTCGATCTACAAAGGTCCCGTGGTTCTTGAGGGCAAATTCGCAGTCTTCCACACCAAGGATGATCAAGGCTCGTCGGCGATCGTCTCCAACATTGTGGAGAGCCATGTACTCCACCTCTTCACTGGCGAGCTCCACTATAAGATGGTTTCATGGCATCTGGGAGCAATCTTTCTCCTCCTATCGGGCCTCTCTTTTGCGCTCTTTCTCATCCTCCAGGCTCCAGTACTCAAATCTTTCCCAGCTCCAGTAACTTTCGCTTCCATGTCGTGCCTCTCGAGTGTGATCCAGCTCCCGGTTGTTGGAGCGGCGTTTGAGCCACAGTGGAGCTTGTGGACGAACATCAAACTCGGGGAAGCTCTGAGCATCGTCTACGCAGGAGTAATTGGATCGGGGATTGTATCAGGGATTCAATCGTGGGCGGTGAAAGAAGGAGGCCCGGTGGTAGTGGCAGCGTATCAACCACTGGAAACTATTATCACGGCGTGTCTAAGCTATTTTTTCTTGAAGGAAAGCTTGCGATTGGGAACTCTGGTGGGAGGGCTCACGATTATCTTCGGCTTATACTTGCTCATATGGGGGCAGAGAAAGGAACGCGAGGCAAATGAGGAGGTTACGAGGAAAGCCACAGAGATTACTCTAGTTCTACAGCCTAGTCGGCGAGCTAGCTTTATCAAACCAGCTCAGGTATTTGATGTTGAGCAACGAGGCATTTAAAGCTGAATGAAAGAGCTTTATTGTTGTAAACTAAGTATAATGCAAAGAAAACTAGGAACTTCTCTCAGTGTTCATTTGTTTTTCTTCAAGGACGTTTGTCAAATTTGCTTAGCTGGACTTGTCTGGGAGAAAAGTCTAGTGAAGAACGAAATATCAGGGTTTTGTTTCTAACCGGGCAACTGGAAGATCGCGTGGTCAGAGATTTAGATTCATATCACAGCTCTCTTTCACATTGTCCCTTTTAAATTATGCTTCAAAGAATGATTATACTGTGTTGGTTGACCCACTTAAACGAGCTTGCCAAAGAAACTGGGCATGGGGTATTGGAGGAGCAGCTCTTTCAGACTTAGTAATAGGATTATAAGCTTCGCTTTGTCCCACATAAAAGCGATGACTCCTTCAAATAGAGTGTTAAGTGGCTGGCCTCCAGTTCACAATCCCAGAACTGATCACTCCAGCATGCTATTAAACTTCCATGTTCCCCACGGCAGAAAATTAATGGAAGTCTTGAGATCTGAAGCCTAAAGTGAAAGAGATGAACTAAAGCAACAAAGAAGTATTGCCTTATCCAACCCCAAGACTTTGTTTGATCCGGTCAATGATGTTTGCTTCCTTTGGAATAAAGGATCCACGTTGGGCAATGTATAAAGAGAGGCAGTTGCAGGGGTGAGATTAGTGGCATGAGTTAAATGTGCTTGTGAGCCCCAGGTACCTCCCAATGGGCCACTGGCCTCTACCACTTGCAAGTGTCCATTAAATTTCATCTTGTGAGGGCCAAGTGTACAGCTATGATGTTGTATTCTAATGTTAGTATAGTGGGATTTTGGTAGATGTTGGATTGGTTTCAATCCGAACTATTCACTTCTATATATAAACTAGGGTTTTTGGGCTAATTGATATACATATTTTCTATATTCTCTTTCCATATTCTAAGCACTCACATTGGTAGAGGTGAGGGGCAATTTTGGTTTAAATTTAGTTTGTGTATTATCTAGATCTAACTTTTTCCACTTCCTTTCTTTTGTTCTTTCCTTTCAGGATTTTGGTTTAGATATAGCTTTTTGCATTGTCTAGATCTAGCATTTCCTTTTAACTTTTTGTCATTTCTTTTTTTGCTCTTTCTTTTTTCGTTCGTCTTCATGGCAGATCAGCAATCTCCTCCTTTGCCTCTGAAATAGCAGTTGGTACAATTGCTTGATGCTATGTGTTTGCAATTGAACAATCAAACTCAGTTGATGGTGGTGTTCACGGCATGTGGTACAACTCCTTCTACTCTTGGTGCCAATCCTTACGTTCGGCCGGAGTTTTTTCATGGGAATCTTGGGGATGATGTGTACCATTGGTTTGATCACTTCACAGTGATTGCCACATATCGTTCTTGGAATGATGCTCGATGTTTGCGTGAGTTTCCCACGTGTCTCCAAAGGACGGCATTGCAATGGTACAATGGTTTGAGCACAACCACTCGTGGGGATTGGAGTGTTCTCCTGGACATCTTCAAACGCTCCTTTGGACGCCAATGACCGTGATAATGCCTTCCAACAATTGCATTATCTTCGTCAAAGGTCATATGAGTCGGTGATGCAATTTGGTGTTTGTTTCCGAAGTCTTTTACTTCGTGCGGAGCCAAATATGTCGGAGCAGATCAAGCTAGAAATGTTGTGGCTAGCACTTCATCAAGATTTTATCGAACTTGTGCATGCACTTGCTCCCGCCACCCTTGATGATGCTCTTCGTTTGGCACAACGTTATGAGACATCGCATCTTTTACTTCTCACAGCACGTCCTTCAACTCCACTTCCTATAAGTGATGGTCCTGTTCCAATGGAGGTTGATGTTGCTGCTGCTCGAGTCCAAGGACAAAGGCGAGGACGTGGTCATGGCCGTGATGTTCACTATTGGGCATGTAATGAAGTTGGTCATACTTATTGGCGTTGTTGGCATTTTCCGGATTGGCAACCTCCATTTCCTAGGTGGAGATTTTGGCATCAGCAATGTCCCGTTAATGCTGTTGTAGTGGAAGGTTTGGACACTGAGATGCATTTGGGAAACACGAAGTCGCATGAGTAATTGAGGGACCTTGCGCAAATAAGTCAATGACCCTTCCATCTTTCTTTCGGGAGTATCATCAAGGGGTTCATTTGGCACCGATTCATTTAGTTTTTACTTTCCAAGCTCGTTTTTATAACAAGAGGTCTCCTATTATTCTCTCCATGTTGGTTGATACAGATTTGAATCTTCTATTGCTCGACCTGTTGCCACACGTTGCCATCTATACTTGCGTTATGTGGTAGAACCAATTTTCATTCTTTATGGCAACGGCCGTACACATGCATATGCATGAGATGAGGCGGACTTGGTTGTGCGTGTGGGTGATTTCGAGCTTGAGTTGCAATCATTGCGGGTGGTGTCGAGTCAAACTTTTGACTTCATTCTTGGTATGGATTTGTTTTAGCGCAATCATGCCAAGTGTGACTTTGAAGCTTCTCCCCCTTGTCTCATACTTCCTTATGTTTCATTAATTCCTCTCACTTTTATACCTTTTCGTCCCTTTACTTCTACCTCTACTTCCATTACTTTTGTCTCCCCATTATTTCCTTCTATGTTTTTGTCTTGTTCCACTCTTCCCTTTTCCAATCCCTCCAACAGTCTTTGTGTTGCAATGGTTGATCGGTTCATGAAGGAGTATGCCGATCTCTTTGACTTTGACCTATCATCTAAGGCTAAGATTGCCACATGTTATCCGATTCCAACTGGGGATGCTCGTCCAATCAAGGTTCCTATTCATTATCGGTCACCTAAAAAAGATTAAGATTTTAAATGCAAATGTCAAGAAGATATTAGAAAAGGGTGTTATTTGAAAGTCACAGAATCCTTGAGCATGTGAACCTCATCTGGTGACGAAGCTTGATGGGAGTATTCGTTTTTGCATCGACTATCATCCATTAAATGAAGTGACGATCCCAGATATGTACCCTCTTTCTGACATTGCTAATCTCTTGGATTGTCTGGGGCGAAGTTGTTAGTTCACCAAATCTTGTTGTTGGGTACTAGTAACTACCAATGGCCGAAAAAGATATTCCTAAGACTACTTTTCGTATACTATTTGGTTTGTATAAGTTCTTAGTGATGCTGTTTGATTTGAACAATGCTCTAGCAACTTTCTAGTGGATGATGGACGAGGTTCTTTGTGATATGCCGGAGGTGACGGCTGATTTCATTGATGATATCTTGATCCACTCGGAGGGGACGTGGGAGGAGCACGTTCGTGATGTTTGTAAAGTGTTGGATCAGCTACATAATGTTGGTTTAAAGCTGAACTAGTCGAAGTGCGTGTTTGGGTCCAAGGACACAACTTATCTTGGGTACCGTATTTCTCATGAGGGTTTGTAAGTTGATCCTGACAAACTTGTGGCTGTTCTAAAGTTCCCTACTCTGAAGTGTGTGAATGATGTGCAACACTTCTTGGGCAAGGTGCAGTATCTTGGTCGTTTTGTGGATCATCTTTCTGATCACACTGCACCGTTGCGAGTGTTGCTGAAGTCATCAACGTCATCTTTCATCTGGTCTCCAGATTGTGAGCGGGTGTTCGTGGATCTCAAAGAGCTATTGACGACTCCTTTAGTTTTGGCATTTCCTAACTACACTCGACCTTTTATTTTGCGCGTGGATGCTTCTGACATTGGTCTTGAAGGTGTGTTGATGCAAGAGAGCTCGAGTGTGCCTGGCCAGCACCATCCCATTGCATATATAAGCCGTACATTACAACTAGCGGAGATGAACTACTTCATGACAAAGAAAGAGTGTTTAGCAGCAATTTGGGGTTTCGAGAAACTTCATGTATATCTATATGGTTCTCAGACGTTACTTGAAGGTAACCATGCTGTTACTTCATTATTAAAGCGGAAGAACCTGGTTGGTCGTACTGCTCAGTGGGCTTTGAAGCTTCAGATATATGATTTTGATGTTGTTCATCGCCCAGGGAGTTCTATGGTTGATGCTGATGGCCTTTCTTGAGCTCCTCTTCCTTCTCCACTCCCTTCTCATGTTTCTGATGAGCCTATTGTTCCAACATCTGTGGATTTTTTAGACGAGGATTCTGTGCCATCAACAGTTGTTGTACTTGATGTTTAGTGTCCACAAGGCGCAGAGGAAGATTTACCTTCTCTTGATGAGGTTCGCGAAGCTCAAAAGATTGAGTCGTGGATTCGAAGGCTTCGAGATGGGTTTGAGAATTCTACATCATTTGCTGATGACTTGCCTTTTCGGCATTTACATTCTCAATATCGCCTTGAAAATGGCCTTCTTTATTTTGTGAGGACAGATCTTGATGATCATTTACGGTTAGTTGTGCCTTCTGTCTTTATTCCACTGTTTCTTCATGCCTACCATGATTCTCCTATTCTAGGTGGGCATATAAAACATCGTCGTGTTGAGCATTCTTCCATTTGTCCAAGCAGAGTCTATTGAACACTTAGGCCGCACACAAGTGGGACAACAACGGTGTTACAACTCCCATCATCGTCCATTTACAAAGTACAAAGTGGATGATTTGGTGTTAGTTCATTTTCCCCATCTTACAGTACGTGGTTTATCTAAGGGGCTCTTTGCACAGTGGAAAGGATTGTATCGGGTGTTGCGGCAAGTTAGACCACAAGTTTATGAAGTTTGGCATGACATCCAATAGATCGATCCTCCAGAGATTGTGCATGTGTAGCAGTTGAAACACTTCATACAAAGGGATCAAGAGCAGTTAATACCATCTATAGATCCATCGATGCCTCCTCCTGACGTTCCTCTAGATCCCAGCCCATCTACAAGAGAACTCTAATGGTCTTCCATTATTCTGAGAGGAGGGAATGATGTGAGGGCCAAGTGTACGGCTACAATGTTGTATACTAATATTAGTGTAGTGGAATTTTGGTAGCTGTTGGATTGGTTTCAATCCAGACCACTCACTCTTATATATAAGCTAGGGTTTTTAAGCTAATTGATATGCACATTTTCTATATTCCCTTTCCATATTCCAAGCACTCACAATCTTAAAACCAAAACTTTATTTATATATATATATATATATATATATATATAGATTTCACCTATGATGATCTTTAACAAACATTCTCAAGATGAATCCAGTAGAGATGGTGATCTTTTCTTGCAATATATCTGGCACACTTTTTGGGAAGAAAAGATCAGTCTTGATCAACACAAGTAGAAATCGCAGTTTCACACGATAAATGCATCTGTTTTCGTCGAGAGCAGTAGCCTAAATGAACACATAGAAGCTCAGTTTCCCTGTTTTCCTTGTGCTTGCTGTTTGGATGGCAAACGAGAGCACTTTCTTTAGGAGAGGCCAGGAGAATCATTATTTCGACCTAGATCAAGAAAGCGATCAGCTCACGAATCCGTCACGAGAGAAAAAAGAAATCCAAGCAGCTTTATAGTTTACTTTTAGGCTAGGGAAAGTTCCAAAGGGCCACGGGGGCGTGCTCATTCAAGCACTCTGCACAGCGATTTGTTTCCCCGCGGATATACATCAGCCACTATTTGCATGAGGGGATTTTAAAATTGGCGCGCAAATGGTTTGTGAACAACGGGCATTTGGAGGACGTGGGGGATCCAGATGATGGCGGCCTACGCAAGGTGGCGGAGGCGAGCGAGATCTTCAACTGGATGGCGGAGCTTGATGTTCATGACGAGGCCAACGAGATGCTCCAGAGCTCACAGTGCTAGCACCTTTGCTCAGGAAAGGAGTTGTTCGATTCCATGCCCAGCAAGCATAGGCAGCGCATCTTGCACTGATGCCGACGAGACGTGGGTGGCAATGATCAGGGGATCTGGACTAGCCCGCGGCCCGGTCATGCCCTGTTGACTCTTTGGCTGCACCACATGCCGGAGCGTGGAATGAGGCCACAAACGCAGTGTGATTCTGGACGTTGTAATTTGTGGCAGTAGGGCTCACGTACGCGCAACTAATTTAAGATGGACTGGTCATGGGTATGGCAATAGATCATGTCGATCGGAAAACAATCCCAAGAAATCAGACATATCGATCGCTCGACTGAAAACAAATCCCAAGAAGTCAGACGGAAGCTTTCTCATACACCGCTCGGCCCTCTCAATGTTAAGACGCCATCACTCTTGATCAATTATCTATGAATGCTTTACAAGGTCCCTGTTTTTCGCTTGGATACCATGGTAAGAACCTCTGATCTTGACAGTGAAATCACTGATGCAATGAGAGAAAAAAAACAGTTCAAGACAGTCTACTTCAATTGTTCTGACGATGATTTACTAGGTAAGCTTTTGTGGGAGAAGCTCAAATTCGGCTGCTTGATTGGAAGCTCAGTTCATGCAGTTTGGATTCATTGCGACCCGATACACTAGAAACGGTTGGGAATCCATGAATCACGCTACTGCTTATCTCCTTGTCATGGATGCCTCTTGCCTCATGATCTATTTATTTGCAATTATGGTTCCGTATGTCGGCCCCATACATTCGGGGTTGGGAGTATGTTCACCACTGGATTTACTGTATGCACTGCTCATAGAGAACTTCATCGTCTCAAATTGTGAGTTCGTTCACTTCTATTAGTTGACTTTGTTCAAAGAATGCCACCCTCGTGGAGGCTTGGAGTTTATTGCCTGAATCTGGGTGTCTGTTGTAAGTGTTGCTTTATGGTTGGTGGTCAGGCATCACAAACCTCTTCCAGAAAATCGGTAGGTCTGGTGTTTCTCCAAAGTGCTCTAAATGCCATTACATACTTGATTTTCTTAGATTTTAATAACGAAAAATTATATCGTCTAACGTGATTAATCATTTACAAATATCTCTTTGTGGCATGGATTTATATTCCCAACTGACCACGTAGAAGCAAGTCTCGTTGAAATTTTCAATGTAGATGTGAGAACTGATCATGTTAATGTCAGGAGTGACAAGTTAAGAACAAGCAGAGTAGGTACTGTTCTGTATGCCCGTCAGGACAAGTCCAAACCACAAGTGGATTTCCCTCATTGATCCTGTGAAAGATTGACCTTGTGTAGGCCTAGAGAGCCCCCTTTTTTGTTCTAGCAAGTCCACCACCTACACCAGATGCCGCAACTGGGCTTTCACCGTAAATGCCAGACCTGATTCATTTCTCTATCATGTGAAGGCATTTTGGCCAGGATCTAAGTGAGCGTTTTGACATAGCCTTCAAAAGAAACACTATACATATATCTTTATTCTTATTATAATTTAATAAGAAATACAAAGCCAAGTAGAAATGCACGTAGTCATTGATTTATAAACACTTCACTGCGGTGCAAACAAGCTAATGTATTGTTTCCTGGCACCAGCAAACGGCCTTTAGATAACCGAGTATGATACGAATATGTTACCTGACTGGGTGCTCGTCCTGTGGCCTGTTGTAAGGCGTCCAAACTGGTTCTCCCACAAAGAGACGCATTGCCTGCTCGAAACCGAAGCATCAGAAGATAAATTCGTGTGCGATCTCAATGCCACCTTGATGTAATTGCTGTTATCCAGAGTGAAGCGATGGTAGCTTCCAGCAGGAAGCACGATCATGTCTCCCTTCTTCACCCAAATACGAATCCACCGATCGCCCAAGTCTCTCACATCGAAGTAGCCTGCGTTTGCCAAACGTTACTTACATCAAGCTGTTCTTCTCACTTACTACTATCGCTTTTGGTATAAATGGAAAACCGAGTTTGCTAGTTACCGCTTCCATCGAGGCAGTAGCGGATCTCCTCGTCCAGATGGATGTGCTCCTCGAAGAAGCTCCTGATCTTTTGCTCGTAGTTTGGCAGCTTCTCCGGACTCACGGTGATGATATCCTTTGTGAAACAAAGAAATCAACATAAGCTTTTTTTGCAAATTACTGCAGCTTTGCTCGTCTTTTCCGATCCAAGAGCTACCTGATATGAGTATCCTCGCTTCTTTCGTATCTCCTGTAGCTTTGAATCGGTCTCGTACCGATCTGCGTCGAGATTCCAGTGCAAAACGCCCAGAGCTGCAAGGCACCAAAACGTTTCCAAGGTGAGAAGCAGAAAAACAAAGAAATCTCACAGAAAACCTGCGAGCTTCTCGTGCGAAACGAGCTGGACTGGGTTGAGGTGATGCGGCTGCCGCTGATCTTCACTCGAGTCGTCCATATACCAAGCCTCCATCTTGTCTCAGCTCTCCTGCTGCAAAAAACGAACGAGAAAAGAGAAAACTACAGGTTCTCTCTCGTCTCGTTTTCCGAGAGCAAGAGATTCTCGAGGCCGCGATCACTTCTTGAGATTGATTCTCGTTCTTCAGCTCGATGGATAGATGAAAGGACGAAGCGAGTAGGATCTTCGGAGCGGAGCTGAAGAACAAGTCAATGAGCGAGAGGAAGAAACTGAAGAACCAGACAGTCGCTCGATGGTTGATTATAAAAGAGTTGATCCTTTCTTTAAATAAGACCCGCCATCCATCGGATGGAACAAGTGTTATAAGAACGGTTTGGTTGTATAGAGCCACTGTTTTGCATACAGGCTGGAGAAGACTTTTGCGAGCGATTGCGTGGGCAAATACCAGCAGCGTTTATCTGAAAATTTAACGCAGCGCTCGACATTGGAGTTCGCACCCGGGGAATGTACGTGACATATGCCACTACGGAATCTCTCGTCGGCTTGTTTGCATATGCGTAAGTCTTTTTCTTCTTTGTCAAGAAAAAAATAAACTTCCTGCAAGTTGCAAGTGTTTCTGTCAGTGGATCAAATGGGCCAATTTGATAGCGGCGGGTATTGTTTACTACTTGCCTGGGGTCCAATGCACTGCACTCGGCAAAAGGATGGAACAGTACCCCGCTGGAAGCTTGTGCACCTTTGGCCGCATAGATTAGATGCATGAATCTGTTGACAAGCGAGAAGAGAGTCAGAAGCGATGGAGCTTTCAAGTTAAATTCGATGCCACTCACCTCGCCGATCGTCGATCCACAAGGCCATGGCTGTAGTCTCAATCATCCCTGTCTGACAAACACAAACCAAGCGCAAGTAACTTTATGCACAAATCAGTCTGTCTATATCAAGCACCTGGAGTTCAGAGCTATGTTACACGAGCGTAATTTACAAATAACGGCAGAAAGTTACCCATCGTGGTGTGAAGACGAAGGCATTCCACCGCGCCAATACCCAGACCGAGACAGTCCACTGTCTGCAAGGAACTGCATGTACGTTGCCTCGAGTTCAGCGTAAGACTTGCGTAATTCTTCCTCTTCTCGTGCTTTCCTCTGCTCTTCTGTCTCACTCTCAGCTCCCTCCTGAAAAAGACATGGCATTCAGTCTCACGTCAAGGCTTGCGTGTAAGAGGATTATACCAGCCGCTGTCCATCGCCCGGAACAGCCACTTCGGATTCTCTATCGCCGTCGAGGATCCTTTGCCAGCGATGAAGTCGTGGACGGCGTTGTACATCCCACAGCTCTTTCTCAGCTTGCGTCCTAGAGACTTCTACTTTTATTCTGTTCTGCGCTTCTTGTAGGAGTTTTCGAAAGCCAAGAAGCACAACCGGAACCAGCAAGAGTAACGGAGCCGTGAAGCTTACCTGCATAAAACAACACGTTGATATGACGACTTAGTACAAAGAAAAGCTTACGAAGTTTGGAAATCCTGACACCATCCATGGAGGAACAGGTGACCGTGGTTGTGCAACAGTGCTGATAATTTCTTCCGAGGTCGATGGTGTGTCCTGGATGACCAAAGCAGCAACCTGAAGAAAGAAGCCATAGTTCGTGGTACGTGCGAAATGAACGTTTTGTTTACCTTTTGGAACACTCTCGGTTGGACAGGCACTAGCAAGACGCGACCAGTTTGTAGCAAATCAATGTCGTCAATCTTATTTGCTAGAGCGATAGTTTGCACAGAAGTGCTGTATTGGCGGGCTATGGAAGTTAACGTTTCACCCCTGAAGAAACAATGTTAGCACAAGAGAAGAAAATTAAGAGAGCAAAAAATCCCATACTCTTGAACATTATGGCAAATGGAGAACGAGACAGGATGAGTGACGCTCCGATCGGTTGCTTCTCCGGCCTATTCGCAGAGAAAACACTCCATCACTAGCTATCTTGCTAGAAATTCCGCTCATACCTTGTCCGCCACGGCCGAAATCTTCCCTGCATTCTCCCGGCGCCTCCCGATCGGCACGGATATGGCCAGGGAAGGGAGCCTGGAGATCCCGCGGTCAACCGCGGTGCTAGCGCCCGCCAAGCCAGCGCCGAGATGAGCAACCCTAGCCTGCATAGCGCGAGACCGAGCTAGGGCTTTGCGTAAAAGAATTTCATCTCAAACGGCTACGTTTTGACCAAATTTGACCATTTATCTTAATTAATATAACTTCCATGTACCACCAAAACTTGCTCCTTACAAGGACTTCCATGAACATATACATACCTTTGAATGAGAAACATTGTTGTCTGTTTATAAAACTCGTGGATCCGACTTGTGGAAGCTAATTCGTTCCTCTCAAGCTCTTGTCCCTTCCATGGGAATTTCGTTCCACGCTGTTGACTAGAAGTTTTGAAAATTTTCAAGCTCGGCATAGAACTAGACCAGATTTGCGTTGACGGTCTTTCTTTCAAATTAGTCAAGGTATCAATAATCAAATAGCGGGGCTTTACTTGAATAGTGGCCGTATTCAGTGATGGTTTCTCAGATAGTCAAGTTCTACCTTTTTGACTACCTGCAAAGAAAATGCACTGTGTTTAACTCTCAGTACTCGGTTAAAAAGGTGGTCTTATGAGTAACAAGTTACGTGTTGGACGTTCATGCATCCATAACACGGCATTTGAGTTAGCATATAAAAGCCCTAGAAATCTTGAAGGATTTTCATCAAGCTCCTCTCCCTTTGTTGGATAATGGCTGTGGTTTGTACAACACCACAAGAGTTACGCATAGACATCAACGATCGAAGGAGTATGAATAACGATAATTCTTCTCTACAAAATTGTGCTGGAAAGTTGAGGCTCTATCTCTCACTTGGCACAACACAAGCTCTCTTTGCTGGATTCGAAGTTTTGAGCCGAGTAGCTCTCGACCAAGGCGTGGGAAAGACGGCGTTCACGTTTTACAGGAATTGTCTCGCCACCATCGTGTTGGGAATCTCTGGAATCATCTTCGAGCGCAAGAACTGGAGGAAGCTCACTTTCAAGGAGGTTTTCTACTTCTTTTTCCTAGGGTTCTTGGGGGTGACGATGAACCAGCTTTGTTACCTGGTCGGCCTGGGTTTGACGTCGGTCATGGTTACATCGACCATCCGCAACTGCATCCCTATAATGACGTTTGTTCTTGCGTGTTTCTTCAAGCTGGAAAAGATTGACTTGAGACAAAGGCATGGCATCGCCAAGCTCTCGGGAGCGCTGATCGGTCTTGTTGGTTCAATCATCTTGTCGATCTACAGAGGTCCCGTTGTTCTCGAGGGCAAATTCGCAGTCTTCCACACCAAGGATGATCAAGGCTCGTCGGCGATCGTCTCCAACATTGTGGAGAGCCATGTACTCTACTTCTTCACTGGCGAGGTCCACTATAAGATGGTTTCATGGCATCTGGGAGCAATCTTTCTCCTCCTATCGGGCCTCTCTTTTGCGCTCTTTCTCATCCTCCAGGCTCCAGTACTCAAATCTTTCCCAGCTCCAGTAACTTTCGCTTCCATGTCGTGCCTCTCGAGTGTGATCCAGCTCCCGGTGGTTGGAGCGGCGTTTGAGCCACAGTGGAGCTTGTGGACGAACATCAAACTCGGGGAAGCTCTGAGCATCGTCTACGCAGGAGTAATTGGATCGGGGATTGTATCAGGGATTCAATCGTGGGCGGTGAAAGAAGGAGGCCCGGTGGTAGTGGCAGCGTATCAACCACTGGAAACTATTATCACGGCGTGTCTAAGCTATTTCTTCTTGAAGGAAAGCTTGCGATTGGGAACTCTGGTGGGAGGGCTCACGATTATCTTCGGCTTATACTTGCTCATATGGGGGCAGAGAAATGAACGCGAGGCAAATGAGGAGGTTACGAGGAAAGCCATAGAGATTACTCTAGTTCTACAGCCTAGTCGGCGAGCTAGCTTTATCAAACCAGTTCAGGTATTTAATGTTGAGCAACGAGGCATTTAAAGCTGAATGAAAGAGCTTTATTATGACTTGAACGAAATATCGGAGTTTTGTTTCTAACCTCTTGCCGGGCAGCCAGAAGATCGCGTGGTCAGAGACTTAGATTGATATCACAGCTCTCTTTCACATTGTCCCTTTTAAATTATGCTTCAAAGAATGGTTATACTGTGTGGTTGACCCACTTACACGAGCTTGCCAAAGAAACTGGGCATGCGACTGGGTATTGGAAGAGCTGCTATTTCAGACTTAGTAATAGCCTGGATTATAAGTATCGCTTTGTCCCCACATAAAAGCAATGAGTCCTTCAAATAGAGTGTTAATTGGCCGACCTCCATGATCACTCCAGGTAGAAAATTAATGGAAGTCTTGAGATCTGAAGCCTGGAGTGCAAGAGATGAACTAAAGCAACGAAGAAGAGGTTTCATGATGATCTTTAACAAACATTCTCGGGATGAATCCAGTAGCGATGATGATCTTTGGCTGCAATATATCTGGCACGCTTTTTGGGAAGAAAGATCGGTCTTGATCAACACAAGTAGAAATTTGTTTGCGGTTTCACTCGATAAAAGCATTTGTTTGCATCTCAAGAGAGCAGTAGCCTAAACGAACACATAGAAGCTCGTGCTTGCTGTTTGGATGGCAAACGAGAGCACTTTCTTTAGAAGAGGCCAGGAGAATCATTATTTCGACCTAGATCGAGAAAGCCATCAGCTCACGACTCCATAGCCACGCGAGAAAAAAAGAAATGGATCCATCCAATCGAGCATTAGCTTGAGGCAATGCGGGATCTACGTGCGGCAGCGATCCTCCTCTGTTTCAGAACTTTAAATTTTGATAGCTTTCTTTTAGACCAAGATGGCACCAGTGAAAGTGAGTTCCAAAGGGCCAGGGAAATGGCATGAGGGCGTGCTCATCCAAGCAGCACGGCGATTTGTTTCGCCGCGGATATACATCAGTTTTTGCCGCCATGGTTTTTATGGAGATGCCTTGTGGAGAATTGTGTGTTTGTTCTTAAAAAGGACTAGTGTGTTCCTAGTGAGTCTCTATAATCTGATTGTCGATATAAGCCCATGCTTGTGCATCTTCAATTTATAACCTTGTGGTCGTAGGTTCGAACCCCACGGCGCATGAGGGGAATTTAAAATTGGCGCGAAAAGGTTTATTTGGAGGACGAAGTCGGCGCTGGACTGAAAACAATCCCAGGAAATCAGATCGGTGCTTGACTGAAAACAATCCGAAGGAATCAGACGGAAGCTTTCTCATACTCCGGGAACTCGGCCCTCTCAATGTTAAGACGCCACCGCTCATGATCAATTCTTTATGAATGCTTTAGAAGGTCCCTGTTTTTCGCTTGGATACCATGGTAAGAACTTCTGATCATGACAGTGAAATCACTGATGCAATGAGGAAACCAAAGCAGTTCAAGACAGTCTACTTCAATTGTTCTGATGATGATTTACCAGTGGGAGAAGCTCAAATTCGGCTGCTTGATTGGTTCAGTTCATGCAGTTTGGATTCATTGCGATCCGATATACTTGGTGTGGGAGAAATGGTTGGGATTCCATGAATCAGGCTACTGCTTATTTCCATGATCTGTTTCTTTGCAATTATAGTCCCGTATGTCGGCCCCATACATTCCGTGGTTGGGAGTATGTTCACCACTGTATTTACTGTATGCATTGCTCATATGCTACTGTAGAGAACTTCCTTCCCTTCTATTAGTTGACTTTGTTCAAAGAAAGCAGTGGAGAAACCACCCTCGTGGAGGTTTGGAGTTCATTCTCTGAATCTCCTTGTGATAGCATGGATGTCAGTTGTAGGTGTTGCTTTGTGGTTGGTGGTCAGGCATCACAAACTTCTTCCAGAAAATCGGTAAG